GGGAAATCTAATTCAATATGGGATTAGAGACAGGATTACAGGATGTGCTAAAAAGGCAGATCAGGTTCAAATTGCGAATTTCCTCAATCAAACATGAACATAGTATGAAGAACAGGATGGACCCACGGGCCCATGGGGCAGATCCGGACAGGAGACTAGAGCAGGATTAGCCACTCAAGAGGGAGGGGAGCAAGGCCAACAGCAGATGTGATGACGTCACGGTAAATTCGCCAAAGGGCACATCTCTTGTGGAATAGAGACATGTCAGAAAATGGGATAAAACGAAGGCGAAACTAGAGGGTAAGAAATGGATATAGACTGGACAAAAAGTTGGACAAGGGATTGACTTCACTTGTCTCTTTGATGAGTGCTTGGGTGCTGAAAATGGTAAGACTCACTAATTATGCCGACTACGATGCTGGCGAAACATCTGGGAATATACCAAGTCCACGGTCCGACTGAAAATTATCATACATACTATGGACTCCAGACAAGGTGCGTTCGTCTAGGCCTTCCTGCTAATAAAACCAAGTTGCGAAACCAAGGTCAAACAACTTCTAACATGGACATCACCTATATATAACTCGCCAACATAGAAGTATCATTAAGTGCTACATATGAATCGATAGGCCTGGGGCCATAATATCAGTGCCTTTGTGGAGCAGGGCTTTAATTAACACATTGCAACATATACGGGAATTGAAAGGTCGGAAGGAGTATCTTCTCATTTTCTCATTCGTAGAATATAGAAAGACTAAAATAAATAGTAGAACAAACATTCATTAAATACGATTATAACTTTAAATAAAAGTCATAGAAACTTATCGTATAATGTGCGGGGAAATTCAGAACGCATTGAAAATTGATAGAGCATTATACTAAATTGAATAGTTCAACCTACCTCTTCAGAAAGATCTGATAATCGATCACAAAGGGTCTGGATCAAGTCAGTAGCTTTTTCAAGACGCATTTGAACGTGGCGCATTTCATTTGCCTGCTCAGCAACTTCATTATTTGTACATGAAAGAGACATAGCAGCTAAACGAGGAAACCATTCCAAGTTATTGGCCTGAAAAAGATAAATAAAGCCAACATAGATACGAACTATCTCGCAACTTTTTTATTGCTCAATATTGATAAAGCAATTGAAGTTATAGATAAAAATGAATAAAGTGAAAGAAGATTTAAAAG